GGAACTTCGAACTTCTCCCCCTAGTTGTGCAGGGGTCCTACTGCATATGCATGTCAATGCCCATTTGATAAAGTATGGGTTTCTGTAAGCCGTCTTCCCTTCACAGACTGCATTTTTGAATATTTTTACTAATTTATGCATGTTTGTATGCACTTTTCCCAAGCATGCATGTTTTGATTGGGATACTTCAGCGTAGAATCCCATTAACTCCAAAGAATATCTAAATTTCAGATTTTGTACAGGACTAAAAGGCTGAAATCAGCTATATTTCTCTGTCACCCAGAGAATTGGTTTCATTTCTGAAAAATGACCGGGGAATTCAGAACCCCAAATCTAGGGAGAAACACAGATGAGAAGAATGTTGAAAGGTTGAACGCTGCATTTGTTAATCTGAGTGGGGTTTTAATATAGATAATGTTTTATATATTTACTTTTTAATCTATGTATTTATTGAATGGAGCTGGTCTTTGACAGAAATAAATGACAGGGAGCTAAGCTTCTGTTTGGATGCCAGGAAGCACTTCCTGACAGTCAGGACCCCAGGGTGTGGAATGGGCTTCCACGGGAGGAGGTTGAGGCCCCATAGGTGCAGGTGTTCAAGGATAGGCTGGATGTCCACATGGTGGGCATGTCGTGAGCAGAGCCGGCTGGTGCCGGAGGTCAGACTAGATGGCCCGGGAGACCCCTTCTGACTCGCTCTGTTTCTATGTTCCTATGTTTCTAAATATCTAAGAATGCTGAAAGCATCCCGAATCCTGGCTAAGCTGCACCGGCTGCGCTTTAACTGTACCTCCCTGTGTGCCGGAATCACTTGGGGATGCTCTGGATTGGTGCCACCAATGATGTGACACCAGCTTCTGGAAGGAGCTCAGTTTTTTCAGTGGTGGCCTCATCCTGTGGCATGTTTTGCCCAGGCAGCCTTATCTTGTCCCCTCCAAATCTCTTAGTGCCTTGCACTGTCGGGAAAATTCTCAGAGGCCTTTTCAGTTGTGCTCAGCTGCTGTTTTGGTTTTAATAGTGGTTTTATCATTTTAAAGTCCTATGGTAGTTTTGACTATTTTTCCAAAATTGTTGTTGTTGTTAGCTGTGAAGTTGTGTCCAACCCATAGTGACCCCATGGACAACATTCCCCCAGGCCTTCCTGTCCTCCACCATCCCCCGGAGTCCACTCAAGCTCACGCCGACTGCTTCAGTGACTCCATCCAGCCACCTCATCCTCTGCCATCCCCTTCTGCTTTTGCCATCTATTGTTCCCAGCATTAGGCTCTTCTCCAGGGTTACTATTTTCCAAAATAATACTGTATATTAAGACATTTTAGTGCACGCTCTCTCTCTCTCCCTCTCTGTATGTATATAGGTATATATATATGTATGCCTATATACATTGTAGGGATGCAGGTGGCACAGTGGTTTAACCGCTGTGCTGCTGGGCTGGTGGATCGAAAGGTCACCGGTTCGAATCTGCACAACGGAGTCAGTTCCCGTTTCTCCGTCCCAGCTCCTGCCAACCTTGCAGTCCGAAAGCATGCAAATGCAAGTAGATGAAAAGATACCACTTCGGTGGGCAGGTAACAGCGTTCCGTGCACTTTAGCATTTAGTCATGCCGGCCACACGACCACGGAGAGTGTCTGCGGACAAACGCTAGGAAACAGAGATGAGCATCGCCCCCTAGAGTCAGACATGACTGGACTTAACGTCAAGGGGAAACCTTCACCTTTCTATATATTGTTTGTATGCAATGTCTACGTGTGTGTGTGTGTGTGTGTATTGAAATGTGCATATATTGTATGTATGCGATATATAAAATTGCATCCTTCCATGGAACTCAGGATAGCATATGTGGTTCCTCTCAGGTATCCTCCCAACAACCCTGTGAGGTAGGATACTTTGAGCATAAGTGACTGGCATCACTTGCAGAGCCCCTTCTTGTCCAAAACTGATAAAAGGAATGCATTTCCCAGTTGAAATATTACAATAATATAGCAGGAAGGAGGAGTGTCAGTCTGCCCGTAACAAAAAATGGGCTTCTGCCCCAAGGAGCTTCCACCCGAATGTTACTGCAAGTGAGGGGACAGGGAAACAGAGGCAGGGGTCTGGAGAAGAGGTGGTGCTTACGCGTATTACGCTCAGATTGGACCACCGGGATGAAGGGCCTGTGCCAGCTACACGGGAAGCCATTCATGAGTTGGCTGGATGCGGCCCGCATGCCGCTTCTCTGAATAGGACACAAGTCCCTTCCCCCAAATATGCAGCTTCCGAGAAAATAATGTCTAAAACTCGCACGTGCGTGCACACTCCACAGCCGCCCTCTGCCTGCCTCAGTTTCGGTTACCAGGCAACTGACTAGTATCTCGCACCGCATCTTCCTCTCCATAATTAAAGCAGCTGCCGGAATAAAGCGCCTCTCTTTCGCTTTTGCTTTTCCAAAGGTAAAAATAAACCTCCCAAGCAGCAGAGCTGCGGAGGGCGGATCGCGAGGCTTAGTCTTCGCCCCCAGAGGGGCAGCCGCACCAGTCTGTTGCGACAAAAGCATCCAAGCGGTTGCTCGCACCTAAAAGGTGCGCGCAACAGGTGCATGGCGGCGGGAGCACAGTGCTCAGCGCACAAAGCCGGCTGCGGTGCATGTGAGCTTTCGCTCAAATAGACCTGTGAGGTGACACAAGCTGTTTGTTTTGCCAATACAGCATGGCTGCTGCTGCCGCACGGATCTGTACCGTGTCTCAGAAGGGTGGTCGATCCTGGCAAGGTCGAAGTGGAGCCTGAGGCAAGTGCCTGCAGGGATGGTGCGGTGCCCTCCCGCAATGCAGATCCCACCAATGCAGCAGTGAGTGGGAGCAGGGGGCCCCAAAGGCGCCTTCCCACTGCATGGTTCTGCGGCCCATGTGTCGTTAGCCAGAAGGCTCTCTGTACCACTAACGCCACGATGGCATTCAAGGCGAACCTGGGCAGCCATCCGAGTGGCGTGGTGTCCTGCAGCAGCAGGGGGTGGACCCCATGTCCTTCATGGCCCCTCCCAGCTCTATTATTCCATGATTCTATGACAGTGGGACCAGCCGCCTGGAGAGGTGGGGGCTCTTCCACACTGGAGGCAATCAAAAAGAACCTGGACAGCCACCTGAGTGGGATGGTGTGACTTGCTGTCCTGCAACAGCAGAGGGTGGACTTGATGGCCTTCATGGCCCCTTCCAACTCTACTATTTTACGATTTAAGATTTATGAGTGTAGGACACAGAATAATCAACTCAAATTGCAAGAATCCAGATTCAGGCTGGACATCAGGAAAAGCTTCCTTAGGGTCAGAGCAAGATGGGAGTGGAACCAGCTGCCTGGAAAGGTGGGGGGCTCTCCCACCCTGGAGATATTCAAGAAGAACCTGGACAGCCCTCTGAGTGGGATGGTGTGATTTGGTGTCCTGCAACGGGGGGGGGGGGGGCTTGATGGCATTCGTGGCCCCTTCCACCTCTACTTTTTTAAGATTCTATGACAGTGGGACCAGCTGCCTGGAGGGGTGGGGGGGGGCTCTCTCACACTGGAGGCATTCAAAAAGAACCTGGACAGCCATCCAAGTGGGAAGGTGTGACTTGGTGTCCTGCAACAGCAGGGGGGTGGACTCGATGGCCTTCCTGGCCCCTTCCAGCTCTACTATTCTATGGTTCGAAGACTGCGCCCCAAATTCTCCTTTGTTTTAGCCATGTCCAGTAGTTGCTTATTTGGGGAGGAGGTTATTTCACAGATAAACTTTGTACTGGAACAGTCTTTAATATGCAGTGATGTCCACCCATCTTTAAATTAATCACCCACCTCATGGATTGACATACAGAGGGAAATGGATTCCTTGGACGGCTGTAGCACAGACATTGTAAACATAGAAACAGAGCGAGTCAGAAGGGGTCTCCCGGGCCATCTAGTCTGACCTCCGGCACCAGCCAGCTCCACTCACGACATGCCCACCATGAAGGGGAACACTTACCTTCTGTATTGCAATGGATCAAGGACCTTATAATGCTTCCAGTATATGAATGGATGGTATATAGATGTCCACTTCAAATTTGAATTGTTTTGGTTGAAGGCTACGTAAAGTTGCAATTCACACAACTTTGTGTATGCATATTGAAAAAATGAGGGAGAAGTTTGAAAAATGCAGGTGCCCACGGGCTCCATGCTGGAGATGCCTTGATGAGCACTCCTGGATTAGCCTACAGGCAGCGTAGTCGCGCCCCCTGAAGGACTGCATAGGCTCGTCTTGCTGCACCCTTCAGACTCTTCACTTCATTTATGTCTTTTCTCCTCCACCCTGCTGAAGTGTGCACTGATAAAGTTCCGCACTTTACTAATGCTTATCTGTGGCCATACTACCCTGCAAGCACCCAATCTCATCTTACCTTGGAAGTCAAGCAGGGTCAGGCCTGGTTAGTACTTGGATAGGAGACTGCCTGGGAATACCGGGTGCTGTAGGCGGAGGTGTATGAGGGGGTGTCCCACAGAGGTGGGGAGAGACCTGTTCTCCCCTGCAGAGGAAGGCAGGACGCGCTCCAACGGAGCAAAGCTCAGGGAGCCAAGGTGCAATTTGGATGCCAGGAAGCACTTCCTGACAGTCAGGACCCCGAGGGTGTGGAATGGGCTTCCATGAGAGGTCGTTGAGGCCCCATCGGTGCGGGTGTCCAAGGATAGGCTGGACGTGCACACGGTTGCATCAGAATTCTGTTTTTGTGGAGTTTTACCAGTGCGGTTTCTACTATGTGGAAACCATCTTGGAGGCCTTCGCAGGTTCTTCGGTATGCGATCAAGAACAGTTCTGGGCTCCATGATTCTGGCCTGGCACAGAGTAGCTTCCCAGTACAATGTGTGAAAGCTGGTTCGAGCTTCGTTGTTGTTGTACCAGAGCAGCCGCCATAGCTGTGCTGTTGCCCAGAAATGTTCTCACGGAACCGCTCTGCTTCAGAGACGGGTGGTGTGGGAGCCCATCCTGCCTTGGGCTGCACCTCCTTCTGCCACTTCTGTCTTCCCAGGCGTTCACTGCCGGCTCACACTTCTCTGCCACAAGAATACGAGGAGTCGGGGCAAGGCGGCCGTCCCTGCTGCAGCAGGGTCACCTCTCCCTCTGCCACAACCCGGACCCGGCACGGCGACACAGTGGCACTGGGCAGACTGCAGCAGAGAAGAGCGCCGGCCAGCTCGAGACCAACTCTTTCCTGGGATCTTTTTTTCCCGACAGCCGAAGCCCTGGAGATCCCGGTAAGCTCTCCAGTTCCCAGCACCATCTCTCAGATCTCAGGACTTTTGTAGATCTAGTGGTCCCATCGGGGGGCATTATTCCCACAACCCCACTGGAAAGTCTAGGAAGGCCTTTGGCAGTTATATAAATAGTTGAATAACTAAACAAAAGTATGCTTGGGCTGGCTGGAGCATGCTGAGAGTTGTAGGACCGCCTTCTGTCTAAATATGCACGTTATTATAATATTAATTTGACACACACACGGCTGTCTGTGAAGACGGTCCACAAACGGCTATTCATTGCGAAGACAACTGCGACATTCTTCGCTGAGCCTGGGTTAGGGTTAGGGGATTGTTTGCATGGTAGAGGCTTCTGGTCTACTTGGGGGCTTAGCCTCCGGCACCCTCCTGGAGCTTTAACCTCATCATGCAATGCGAAGCCCCTCTGTTCTCCCTCAAATCGCTCTTCTCAGCAGCAAACCCACAAGCACTTTCTTTCCTGCTTTTCCTTGATATAACCTCTAGGTGGAGCTGTGCTCTAGCAGAATAGCACACATACACATGGAGAAGCAGTGCCAGTTTCCCTGTTCTAATATAATACCCCATTTTCCCACGGGGAAGTGCCATAAAAAAACAGAAGCAAAAGCACAAGGATCATGGGGTCATCTGAAGAGCCTGTAAGCAACAGGGGGTAAGGAATCACAAGGGTACAGTAAATGTTCTCCTGTTCCCTTGTTCCCACTCCCTCCTGCAGATTCTGCCCACCATCCTTCCTTCAACTTTGAAACCGAGACTTTGTCTGACTGGGAACCACCTGGTCTGGATCTTGGCGCAGCTGCCAGTAGCTCACAGCGCTCTGCAAGGTCCATCTGTAAGGCCGTCGTGAAAGGTCTACGGAACAACAAACCGGTCCAGTGGGAGATCGCTTTTGACCTCGGGCCGCTCTTCCAGGCCAGAGAGAGCCAGAGGGATGAGGAAGGGGAGGATCTCTGGAGCGAAACCTTCCACCACCTGGCGGCCAGATCCATCATCCGGGACTTCGAGCAGCTCGCCGAGAGGGAGTGTGAAATCGAGCACGGTAACACTCACGGCGCTCTTGGCAGTTCCGCCTTTGTGGGGACAGGTGCCCCCATGCAAGTAATTCAAATCGGGCCTATGCCAGTGTGCCCAAGGCTGTGTCTTTGTTTGCCCGCTTCTCTCACTTCCGTACTGCCCAGTAGCTGAAGCTCTCTGGGTGGTTCACAACAATTCAGCACATTCAAGAGATACAATAAAAATGCAAACACAATAAAACGCAGTATGAAATTGCAATGTGCAAATTAAAACAGCTGAAAATGCCAATATGCAAAAATACAATGCAGTTTAACATCTAAAGCAGTTTAATTTAAAATGAGACCTAATTAAAAACAGCAAGCTTAACCCATTAAATGCCCAGAAATAGAGGGCAGACTTAACCTGATGCCAAAAGAAGACAATGTTGGTGGCAGGTATTCCTCAAAGGGCAGACCACTCCAGAATTGGAAGGCCATCTCTGAAAAGACCCTCCTTTTTGGTTTTTATCCATTCTATGGTGAACTTTTTTTCTTTGTCCACCGTTGAGAACTAATGTTTTTTGGAGTTCAGCAAAAATGTTTCAGAAAAACCTTTCTGGGGAAGATTTCTGAGATGTTTCCTTTTTGCACCCCATACAGCCAATTAGGTGCACTTTGTAGATTTTTCCCCCTCTGGGAATACTTCCAAACATCTTTGTGTATGGATGATAGCCAAGAATGCCACCCCAGCCATTTTGGAGGGTGTTGGGGGGCACTCTTTCCCCTGCCCCTGCTCTGTGCATGTGTGCTATATGAGTGCATGCCTCTTAAGAAAGGAAGAATGGGTAAATCTGGGTTTTTCTCCAGTTCCCATTTTCCAAATGCCAACTCATCCAACTAGATTATTTTTAACAAATAATAATAATAATCCCAAATTGTGTGCATTTTTGTGTACTTTTCTCCTCATCGCATTTTGGCACGCAACTGTGATCAGAGAATATTGCAAAATTGGGAGAAGCGTGGCTTTCACAAGATAACTGAGTTTCCGTTCGTGTCTTCTTCAAAAAGTGCAAAATTAGCTCCAGTTGCATTCAGAGGCCGACTGAGCGGGTGTCTCTCCCGTCTGTTCTCAAACAGGGTCTGGCCGACGGTACCACGTCAATGCCGTGCACACAAGCAAAGCCTGCAATGTGATCAGCAAATACACGGCCCTCCTGCCAGTAGACCTGAGCAAGAACACCTACTTGGCGACTATTGTTGAATACCCCAACGCAGGTAAAGACGCTCACCTGGGCTGGATGCCGCTGGATCACAGGATCCGGGCACTGTGTCCAAGCAAAAACCAGCTTCTGTGAATCAGAATCGTCTTTCTGAGATGCACTGTTGAAAGGGACTCCGGTCCACAAAGGCTTGCCCCATTCAGAAGATACGTTTCTGAGAAAATGTTGACATTTTTCTTCTACTCACCCTGGAGCACTTTGCTGAACCTTGGTATTCTGCACTAATTTTTTGCTTTTTGGCCATGCCTCAGCCCCAGCCACAATGCTCTAGAAAAAAGCTAGGTCCCTGGGACAGTTAAAAGGGAGCAGGTAAGTCCTGCTAGCTTTTTCAGGGCAGCAAAGAAAGACTGAAAAAAGGAGGAAGGGAGGGAGACAGAAGAGGAACTATGGTCCCTTCTACTGGAGAGCAATTGTTGGAAAATTTCTCCTCCTACTGGAGAAAGTGGGTGAAATTTTCTCTACCCACAAGTAGGATGGAGAACTTGGAGAGACCCTTCACACACAGCTCAAGTCAAAAGGCTCCAGTGACAACCATTTTGAAACTGGGAACACTAGGATCCCTTGTTCGTTGGTTCAGAAGACCGGTGTGCCCACCCCGCCAAGCTAAATGCCTCGTCGGTCCATCTGCCCCATCAGGTCAACCATTCTTGTTGTTTGTGTCAAGGTCCTCCACTGAAGCTTGGCAGCCAACGGAACTGGGGCTCAGAAAGCAGGAGGCATCGTGGGTCCCCTCCGGGCCAGGGCCGCTCCCCGTCAGCCTGCAACCCAGACAGAGCTGAGGACGGGCCCCACAACCCAAGTGAGTTAACAATGCTTCCCTAGCTGTTTGTTGCGGCTGCTGTGACATGCCTCAAATTGTCCTCCACCCACAATCCCCCCAGATTTTGGAATTTAGAACTCCCTCCTCTAAATATTTCTAAAGCCCAGCTATGTAGGAGAGACATTCCTTCTCGTTCTGGATGGGGAGGGAAAAAGGGAAGCCACATGAATGGTGAGAATTTCACAGGCAACTTCCCAGCCTGGGTCAAGACCCACAACAGCAGTCAAAGGAAATTGCAGCTGATTCAGGCACCCGGGACGTGCGCGCGCAGGGAGCCTGCACGGGGCTGGGAAGAAACTCGCTCACTCTCAGAAGAGTTGAGTCATGTGGACTTTGCAGGGGTCGTGTGCACACAAAGGGGGGCTTGTTGCACAGAACTCACAAAGAAAGGAACGAGGGAGAGAGCCGCTCAAAATAGATGAAAATCTGCACCAGAAAACTGTAGCAGCAACGAGGAAGCGAGGTCGGTAAAAACATTGGCTTGTCTTCACAAGCTGCCTGCCAAGGAACCAGATTTGCAGCCGTTGCCTTGCTTAACGAGGTGCCAAGCTGGATTAGCTGCCTGGGACACTTCTCTAGTTGTTTTCAGGTTGCTCTTTTAGCTGCAGCTGTTTCCCACACCAATCGCGGCAGCGCTTTGGTGCCATTAATGCCGACACCGGCAATTTCAATAGCACAAATGGAAGCCTGAGCTGCGTGCCGGCCCAGGAGCCCCGCACGAGGCCAAGAGTCGCAGCAGTTGCTGAACGACGCCATTTGCTCCCGTGCTGTGTGAGAGGACAGGAGGAGTATCCCGCTTATTTCTGCTTATTGCCCCCACCCCCAGATGCAGCAGAGAGCAGTCTCTCCCCGTGCAGCACACCGTCTTCCTCAGGATGGGATCGCTACACTTTTCCAGATGGTGAGGAATGTTTGGGGTGCATGCTTGGGTTTGCCTCAGCTCTGACCCAGTCAGGCCCTGCCCAGTTTAGCATCTTCTACGAGCTTGGTCTTAACGGGAGGGTTCATTCCCAGCCCATCTGTGTGAGGCCGCGTCCCGCAGGTAGTTCCAGGACGGAACGTGAAGCTGTGAAGGATCAGAGCAAGGCGCTCTCCATGCAGGTTCCCTGCCAGTTTCGGTCAGGTGCTTGGCCCAGGAAATCATTCCGACTGGCAGAAACACAACCATTCAAGTACCTCCGTCTTTATTTTAGCAAAGTGCCGTTGACTCGGTGGAATCCAGATGCCTGCCTGGATCTTGCAAAATCCTGCATATGCAAGTTCTTCTTGCTAGATGGCAACCTTTGCATTGCGATACAAACAAAATGATGTGATTCATTAAGATCCTGGATGGCACGGATCTGGGGGCACAGAAACCCCAGATAAGGGGCCTTACGGGACAGAAGTCTTCCCATTGACAAACCAAGGGCGGCCTAGGAGGAACCATGCCCAAAGGACCCCTCGGGTCTTTTGCACTCCTCTCCAGACTGAATCCCACAAAACACACTCTTGGTCCCCGTGTGGTCCGAGTGATAACGGCTGCTTCAGACTTTGCCCCCCTGTCCCCGAAATGGCAGGCTGTGATGCGCCAGGCAGCGCTTTCGGTAATGAGGGAATGCTTGCTCTGAGCTTGGACTGTGTGAATCAGCAAAACTCACACTCATCAGAGCTTTCAGATCCTCCTGTGCGGAGGATCTGGGATCCTCCACAATGGATCGCAATGTGTGTTTTTTCCTCACATGGAAATCCATACATATTCCTCTGTGCATTTCTCTAAATTTTGGGTGAACAGTTTTTGAAATGTATGCATGTTTCTCCCACTAACTTAAACATGCCTGCATGTGTTTCTTAAATGTATGCATACCTTCATGCACCCTTTTCCAATGTGAACATTTTTCCTACCCGTTTTTGTGCAGTCCAGTATGGATCCCAACGCACACTGAATGATACACAGCTGCTCCGAGATGGTGAATTGGCTAAGCTCATACATAATCCTGAACTTTACAAATGTTCAGTTATGAATACAATAAACAGCCCTTTGTACAGATTCAACCCTGTATTGCACAGTATGGAATATTCCCAAAGAAAATTCCCAGTCTGGCTCTCAGCTCCAGTTCTGTTTCTGGAAATTCTCACACCCTTTTCTTCTCGTGCTCTGCTGGACTTCAGGGTTAGATTTTTCTGAGTCCTGTTCCTAGACAGTGTGTAGGCCAAGGAACCGTGGTTTGCAGACCTGTCACACAGGACAACTGAAAACCTTTTAAAGAAGCTCTCGGGAGCTGCATTCCAGGAGTGGGGATGGCCAAAGGCACAAGTTCCAGGCCAGGAGTCCAAAAATACCCACTCACTTTATCTCAAGTCTCTTCCTAACAGTAATCAAGCTTTCGGAGAGTCGGTCAAAACTTTTCTCAATGGGGAGAAAACTGGGCAAGGCCCCGAAAGCCACCCAGTATTTGGTGCTTCAGGGAAAAGGAGGCGAGGGAACCCCAGAGAGCAGGAGGAGTCTGTGGCTCCCGTGTGGGTTTTAATCCTGAGTTCTGTAAGCGCTATCCATGGTGCTGCTTCTAGTATGCCCATGGAAGAGGTGCCCAGTCTCTTGGATACTGTCCTACGTCTGCTGGGACCAGCGCTGGGGGACACTTTCTGACTTAACATGCATGGGAGTCAGTGCTAAAAGACTCTGCCACGCCACGCCTTGCTCTCGTCACTCATTCAGGGTTCCCTTCTGTCTCTTCCCAGTACCACTGCGGAGTCCATCCGTTTCATCACAGAAATCCACTGAGAGCTTTTTTGGTGCCAGGTAAGGTCCCTCTTGGATGGAGCTGATTTCTCACGAAGGAGTCCCTCAAGGAACATCTGGCCGAGCTCACTGTCGGTCAAGCCCCACCTTTCCAGATGTTCTCTGGTCTTCTAGAGGTTCATTTTAAAAGCAAGCATGCTAAGAAGGAGATTTATAGCTTGAGAATGGAAAATCTTTCAAAGACCACCTCTTGGAAACGGTGTGTACTTTGCTCCACAACCCTTATGCATGTTTGATATATGTAATATATGCAATAATAAGAGCATGGCAGCGTGCCAAGAAAAGGGAAACAAGAGATTTCTGTACCTTGCAGTATTTCCTCCTCAGAATTCGTTGTTCCCTCAGAGTTGAGCAGCATCTGCCCAGTCACTGGGCAAATGGATTCTGATTGCTAGAAATCTGTTGGTTCTCGGTAGTCATGAAGAGGATTTGGCAACTGTTTAATTTTGAATGGGTAATTCAGCTCCATGAGATTCGAGAGGACTGATCATGGTGCAGGGAAAAGGGCCAGAATGGGGTTTTTGTGGTGGATCAAGGTGGCTGCCTAGACCCTATTGAGTGGGGAGGGGGTGTGTGGTTAAGGGGGTGGCACCCCTCCCTTTAAAAGTAAGCATTACGCGATTGTTGAGATGTTTGGCTTACTTACCCCCCCCCCCCCCCCCCCCCGGAAAAAGAAGAATTCTTTGCAGATCTTTCTCCAAATGTCCTCCACCATATTTTGTCCAGCAATGACGGTGCTTTCCCCTGACCCCTCATTGCCCCAGAGTGAAGCCAGATCTTGGTCTGGATTGGGGGCACTATGGAAGAGACACAATCTGCAGCCCAACACAGCCCAGAGGCCCACATGCTCCTCACTGCGTCCGGAAAGGCGCAAAGGGGCCAGTCTATGGCCAGGTCACTGCAGTCGCAGCCGTGGCTCGGTAGCGAACGCGCCCCTTCATCACGTGGCTGAGCCCGAGGACATCTGCGGCTGGAGCGCTCCCACCGGAGTCCCTTCGCGTCTGGAATTCCCCGGTGCAAGCAGTCTGGCCGCCAGCAATTCCCGGCTGGGCCCTTCACCAGCACAGCCCCCCGAGAGACCAGGCGGCTGGCGGAAGCAGCAGCTTCTGTTTACGCGTAAGCATCTCCATCAGCCACGGGGCCGGCAGGAGACACGCCTGGGGGTGTTGAACGGGATGTGGGGAAGCATCGCGCCACTCTCCGCTCTGTGCCGGGGAACGGCTGTCCCAGCCCCATCAGAGGAGCTTCCAGAAGGCATGTGACCCAGAAAGGGGAGGCTGCCCGTGAGTCATGGTCCTTGCTAGCAGGGCACCCTTGTGGGGACGGGCCGAGAAGGCTGGAGGGACTGGCGGGCCCCGGCCCTGCCTCTCCCCCTCGGCCGCTTCCCTCTACTCTTGCTCAAGCGCCCTCCCCTCACCTGGCTGCCTGCAGAGGGAACTCTCAGCCTCCTTCAGAGGCCACCAGGTGGGGCAGTGATCCTCGTTGCAAGAAGAGCGGTGCTTCCCATCGCTCCCCGTTTTCACCTGTGAAAGGTGGGTGGCTGTGCCGAGATCCAGACTCCTTACCTGAGACAATGGTTCATGTTTTGGAAAGGTGTGTGTGTATTTTGCTCCACTGATTAGAAAAGCCCCTAGGAAAGTGGAAATGGAAGGTAAGGGTTGGAAAGGACTTCGACGGCCATCTGGTCTGACCCTGCTAGTGCTGGATCGCCAGTGCAGGAGGAGGTTGCAGCATCCCTGACAGACGGCCACCTCCTCTGCTGTCATTCCTCCCACGTGGGAGAGCCTCCCCCTCCCCAGGGAGCCCATTCCCCCGTGGGGCAGCGCTTCCCGTCAGCACGGTTCTCTGATTGCTGGTGTCGTGGGCCTCCCCTCCCCTTCTTGCCCAAAGCGCCAAGACCACAGGCTGTCCTTCGCCACCCAGATCTTTACTGGCCCCTCACAGCTAACAAGACGTTGCTACTCCAGGAGCCCCTTAGCAAGCAGAAGGATGGCCTCTGCTCAAGCAAAGAGGGAGGGAGCGATGAGCTCAAACTGGGAAGTCCTCCCAGCCCTTCCCGTTCATGCCGGCTGCAGGCTCCACCCCTCAAGCGGCTCCCACTGGTGGGCAGCCAGCCAGCCAGCCAGCCCCACGCAAGCCCTCTCCCTGGGCCACTAGACTTTCCCAGCACCTCCTTGTGAGGCCAGGAACCCGGCAAAGCAATGGCCTCCCCTCTTCTCTGGGGTCCCGCCTGCCTCTCGCAAAGCAGCCCTGTTCTCATGGTCGGCCTGGGAACCTGCAGGCAGCAGCCATGATGGGACTTCAAAGGTCCCTTTGTGCCCCCCCGCCCCATTGCTCTTCCGCAGTGCCCTCCCCATCAGAACCTGATCGCACGGGCCCTGGGGGAGTCGGTGAAGAGCGCGCCCCTGTGCCACGCATGGCTGCTCTTATATTTCTCTCCCTTGGGTAATATTTGAAACCCTAAAGGGTCATCCCACGATGCCGATTGGTGGGAGATTTAGGAGAGATCCAAGGAGGGTCTTCTTGTTGTTGAACCATGGGATTCACTTCTGGAAGACGCCGTGACGGCCACCCGCTAGATGGCTTTGACACTGGGCAATGCGTACAGCAGAGGGCTCTCCTCAGCCACTGGCCCACACGACTCCATGCGAGGCCCCGTGTCAGAGCCAGCGTGTCTATGTGCACCAGTTGCTGGGGAACATGGGTGGGAGGGTACCGTCACACTCATGCCTTCCTTGGGAGCTTCTCACAAGCAGCTGCTTGGTACTGGGAGGGGCAATGTGCTGGACTGGGGGGCCCATGGCCTGATCCCACACGGGTTGCTCTCTCCATCCCAGCTGCGCCTCTCTGGGTGTGCTCCAGTTTGTCCGTGCCCTTCCTGAAAGGTTGCATCCAGAACGGGGTACCAAAAGTCTGCTCAGTTTTCAAATCTCTACAAATCCAAATTTTGAACCTCTGACAAACGACAAAAGGGGCCTGCTCTTTGCTCTCAAACTGAACTCCGAGGGAAGTGGCTCTTTTCTCGTATCAAAACGCCCTGTGCGTGTGCACGGATTTGGGAAGGAGAAATGTCACAGCAGCCCTGGAGGTCACCAGCCGCATGTCAATGTGTTCTTTTCCCCATCCCTGACCTGTTGGCCCAGGCTGACCTTTAACAAGACGAGACTGCTCACCCGAGCTGCCCGCGGCTTCATGAGCAAGGCGCCCATCAGGACCAGCGAGTCAAATCTGGATGGCGAGAACAAGAACGCCGACTACCTCCCACTTGTAAGTATCGGGGGTCCTCTGTGCCTGTGCCCAGCCTCCCTTATTAAGTGAGGCGGCCGCGCTTCTAGCTGGGGCATTTGGGGCAGGGAGAGGTGCCCCGGGCCAGCCAGTGCTGCCTGCTCATCCTACTCCCTGGGAGGGGCGTGAGGGCCCAGCCAGAAGAAGGAAAAGGCTGTGTCTTTTTTCCTTTTATTTTATTAACACATACTAATATGTAAAAAAGAATATAGAACAGAGCAAACTAAAATGAACGCAGTGAGCAGTGTTGCTAAGGGAATTTTGCACAAATGCAACCTATCCGTTCCATCCCCTGACTATCTTCCACGCACGATGAGAATTTAACAGAAAAGGAAACATTCATCTATGCAACAACAGGTCTTCCGATCACTTCAAGTCCTCTACTGCTTTTCTTTTTCTTTTCCTTTTCCAAACTCCCCTCGACTCCCATTAGTCAGACTGAGCATGATAAAATTTCCATTTGTCATTGAATTCTTCTGACGATCTTCTGGTTACGTCGTCAGCTAACTTTGCCACCGCAGCATATTCGGCTAGTCTGTTTCTCCGTTCTTCAGCCACGGCGGGCTCTGAGGATTTGGAGAAGGCCGTGCCTTTCCCTCTCCTTCTCCCACACAGGGCATGTGTCCACTGCCACGACGGACTGAATAGCGGCAGGCGAAGGCGCACCCAACCTGGCCTGACCACCTGGCAGGAGCCGCTTGAGAGCCCCTTCCCTTTTGGAGGGAGCACGGCCGTGCACCCCGGGCTGGGCCGAGGGAGATGGTGCTTTGAAGCCTGTTCTGCAGGCGCTGGCCAGTCTCCAGAGGGAGAATGAGGAAGTGGAGGCGGAAGGGTGCAAGACGGGACCAGGGGCAGTGGCCCATTCCGACAAACTGTTCTGCGCATGCTCAGAGATGCGTTCGGGGCGTTCGTGTGGTTCAGCCAATTGCAAGAAAACGTCTGTGGCTTTGATCGTGTGTGGGAGGAGCCCGGCACCTGGCAGCTTGGACCTGGTCTTGTATTCCCCTTCAGGAACTCTCCTTACGAGCATGCCTGGCCCCCACCCTCCTTGCTGTGCCAGTCCTCTAGTTGGGCCACCCTCCTCTGCTGAGGACCCTTCATGGGGTCAAGAGCTGGGGCCACCCTGCCTGTGTCCCTGCTCCAAGCCCCCTCCCACCAACCCATCTTGGCCGTTCTCAGAGACTGCCTGCCACCTGGGGAGCCTGGCCTTGAGATAAGTGCCTCTGATTCTCTCACCTCAGAGTCTTGGGATGGCCCACATCCCCCCCCCCCCACGCCTCTTCCTCTTCCTCTTCCTCCGGAGACCAGCCAGCAGCCCTGCAGAATGAGCTCCCAAGGCAGCCCCCTCCCTCCCTCCCACACACATTTACCACGTTTGAGGCACGGGCTAATGAATGCAGCGCTGCCTCCGCTGTGCTGGAAACATGAGTTCGTGGCGCACATGATACAACCGCAGGCGAAAGCGCTGCCAAGGAGTTGCGCACTGGGATTTGTTGCCGTTGTTATCCGTTAGCTCCGTGCAAGTGCGAACGAGCGAGCGGAGTCTTTTATCAAGAAAAGGAGGAAAAAGACAGCTGCTTCTCCCCGCCCCGTGAGAAAAAAAGAATGGAGAAGGGACAGAGGAAATGCAAGGGGAGGCTGCCAAGCCTTGGACCTCCCATCTCTTGAGTGGGGCAGACAAGAGGACCTGGAGCCCTCCACGCCTCCCAAAGAGAAGGAATCACAGCCCCTTCCCATGGAAGTCAGTGGGATTCACTTGCGTGAGGCCACAGAAAATAACGTGATTCACTTCCGGACACGCATTGTTTCTTCGGGCAAGAGGACAAAGGAGAAGGCTTGGAAAGGCACTTCAGAAGCTGCTTATCCAAAGGACTGGGATTGGGAGCAGGGCCCGCACCGCATTTCCTCTGCAGGTTACCGGGCAAGTTGCGGGGGGGGTGGGGGGCAGGAAAGTTATCAAAGGCTGACTGGCTTGTCTTTGAAAGAACCCCAGTAGATCCTGCAGCATCTTTGCCCACTCCCAGCACAAGGAATCCCCCCCCCCCCCCCCGCAGAACGGTCCCGCGGTTTAGCACATGCTGAAATATATGCTGTGCGAAGGAACCGTAGCTAACAGAGAAACTAAAAATCAGTGCAGACCTTCTTCTCTCAACTTTTCCACTAGCTGCTTCGTAAGTGACCAGCTAAGCAATTGGATGGCTGGCTGGCAGGTTGGTTGGTTTCTGGTCCCTGTGTTGATTTTACTTCCTCAAACCCTGGAAAGACCTCGTTGTTGTTGTTGTTAGTCGCGAAGTCGTGTCCAACTCATCGCGACCCCATGGACAACACTCCTCCAGGCCCTCCTGTCCTCCACCATCTCCCGGAGTCCACCTCATCCTCTGCCGTCCCCTTCTTTTGCCATCTATTGTTCCCAGCATCAGGCTCTTCTCCAGGGAGTCCTTCCTTCTCATTAGGTGGCCAAAGTATTTGAGTTTCATCTTCAGGATCTGGCCTTCTAAAGAGCAGCCAGGGTTGATCTCCTCTAGGACTGACCGGTTTGATCGCCTTGCAGTCCAGGGGACTCGCAGGAGTCTCCTCCAGCACCACAATTCAAAGGCCTCAATCCTTTGGCGCTCAGCCTTCCTTATGGTCACAACCACAGGGTTGCAACTGGGAAAACCATAGCCTTGACGATACGCACTTTTGTTGGCAGGGTGATGTTTCTGCTTTTTAGTATGCTGTCTGGATTTACCACAGCTTTCTTCCCCAGGAGCAAGCATCTTTTAATTTCTTGGCTGCAGTCCCCGTCTTGAAGCCCAGGAAAATAAAATCTGTCACTGCCTCCATTTCTTCCCTTTCTGTTTGCCAGGAAGTGAGAGGACCAGATGCCATGATCTTAGTTTTCTTAACGTTGAGTTTCAAGCCAACTTTTGTGCTCTCCTCCTTCACCTCATACTGAGTTGTAAAAATTGGGAAAATTGGGAATTAGACCTGAGCTACAACCCAGACAACCAGCCAGCCAACTCCGGTCTGCACAGCAATTTTATCAAAGGCTATGTTTCTGTTCCTTTTGGTCTGTTTTCATCCTTTCCTATCTAGTACACAGGAAATAGAAGGAAAAATCAACTCCTATGATTCTGAGTGCTGTATAATGAGTACTTTAGGATACAATCCTATGCCTGTTTAGGCAGGAAAAGTTTCACAACTCCCAGAATTCCCAGCTAGCCTTGTGAGAAGGTGTAGGACTTTTTCTGTCTAAATATGCAGAGGGTTGCACCTTTAATAGAGCCAAGAGCAATTTAGGCTAGATTATCTTGTAAGATCACTTTACATTATCTTCTTATTTCACCCACTGGCAATCAACATCCAGCCTTGCTCTACTCCTCATAATAACAGCAGAGCAATACATTCTCACAGCTTACTGCAGGTGGAGAAACATATTTCTTTATTGCTGGCTGGGTAGAGAACACACCGAACCTGAGACTGAAAGTCCAAGGGGTGAGGCCGAGCCCAAAAAATCGCTAGTTCTGCAGGGACGTGTGGCTAAGCAGGCTGAGGTTTTTTTTTTTTCCTGGAATCACTTACATAATTATAGGGTGACGGTGAACAATGTACCTTCGGCCAGGCAACGTCTGGAGTAGGCAGATTCTGAGAATGCTTCCAGATGAGGAAATTGCTCCTTAAATCAAGCTGCCATTCTTTAAAAGGAAACCATTACTGGATATCAAAGGAAAAAGAGAAATCCCCCCCTCAAAATCTGGGGAAGGGGCAAAGCACGACATCGGGAAGATGCCCCCTTTCTCACAGACAGGCTCTTCAGTCAGGAGACCCTTTCTTCATGTTGTCCAAATTCTTCTCATTGGATTTCTTCCCTTATTTCAGAGCTCTTTCCATGACTCTGTGCGAGGCTGCAAATTCTCTTCATGCGGAGCTTTACCAAGCCACAGGAAGACTTGCATGCATTTGACAAAACACATTGGGCACATTCCAGCAGGATATGGCATATGAATGGCTGGAGCGTGGCTCCTTTTCTGTGACGCAGCCAAGCGTGGACCTGGGTGCCCAAGTCCAAATGTCCGTCCAGGCTGTGACATGGTGCCAGCGGCAGGAGACGGGCCCCGCATCGCCACCTGTTCCCCTCATCGTTAAACTTTTCGGAGTTAGAGGGCAGCTTAGAATAGTAGGGTTGGGAGGGGCCGTGAAGGCCCTCAGGTCCAGCCCCGCGCTGCTGCAGGACGCCACGCTGCCTCATCCCACTCAGGCGGCTGTCACGGTTACAGCTGCAGCTTTTCTCATTTTACTGTAGGGGTTCACGCACCCTTTTCTGCCACAACATGGTGCCCATTCCTAAAGAAATACACTTACAGAGGCAAACTCATTTCCTGCAGTCATTTAGTGAGCTTAAAACGCAACACTGCACATGAGCAGAGTATTCCTTGCTGGCAAACAGTTTCCTTCCTTCCTTCCTTCCTTCCTTCCTTCCTTCCTTCCTTCCTTCCTTCCTTCCTTCCTTCCTTCCTTTGCTCTAACACATCAGGAAAGTAGAACCAGGTGCAAAGCACAGAATGGCGGGGAGGAGGGAAGAGCTGTGCTTCCGAGGTTCTTCCCCACTGCTGGAATTAAGGAGTGCTGCTGAAGCAGGGGTGCCGCACACACACGTTCTGGCTGGGGCTCAAGCGGCCTCGCGGCACCGCTGCGTTGGATGTGGAAATCCCTCGCAGCATTCATCTGGCCGTGGGGAAGCCCTCTGGGGCCCCGTTTCGCCCTGTTTTGCAGCCAAACAGGGACTGCACTCCCGTCTTGCCCGGCTTCCCTGCGATCTGCAGCTCCAGAGAAAACGCTGGCCACCTGTTCCCTCCTCAGGTGGCTCTCCAGCTGGCGTGCGGCTCCTTCCTTCTGAACCAGGCTTTCAGCGAGGCCATCAACATCCCCCTGGAGAAGCTCAAGCGGACGTCGCCTTTCGCCTGCCATCGGATGGCCCTCAGCCCCTCGGCCAGCGCCTGGAAGGCAGGCCTCTCGGGAGAAGCCAAGAACTCCAGGGCACGTCAACCCCCAGGAGAAAACGCAAGCGCCTTGGCCAGCCACGAGGTGGGCGGTGTGGTGGGAGAGACCCGCCACTTCCCTGGCAGCACGGCGGAAAGCCACCCGCAAGCCCCGACGGCCAAGAACAAGCCTTCTCCTCCAGCGATCACCATCCAGCGCTTCTCCTCCCCGGAGAACGCGCTGTCGCCTCAGGAATCCCAGGCCGACAGTGGAAGGGGATCCGAGTCCGACAGCTCGGAACTGCAGTCTTGGCTGGCCGACGTCAGCCTCCAGCGGCAGACCGAGCCGGAGGGGACGCTCTGGGCCACGGCCGTGGCCCTGGCCTGGCTTGAGCACAGCTCGGCCTCCTACTTCATCGAGTGGGAGCTGGTGGCGGCCAAGGCCAGCCTGTGGCTGAGCGAGCAAGAGTTCCCCGAAGGCCGAAGCCTGCCCGTGCTGAAGGCGGCGGCTCAGCAGCTCTTCGTCCTGCTCAGGCACTGGGACGAAAACCTGGAGTTCAACCTGCTCTGCTACAACCCGGGCAATGTGTAGGAGGAGGAGGGACCTGGGGAGGAAACGTGATGCGAGAGGCCGGGACGTTAGGGAACGGGGCCACCTGCCGGTTCTCACTGAGCCCAGCTTGTAATGTCCCCATTGCTGCCACAATCCCCCCTGTAGGTCGGGTTAAGGCCTTCCAGAAAATGGACAGGGCTCCTTTCAAAGGCCACATCTATCTCATGGGCTCGCCCCTCAGCCTAGAAACACCCCTACGTTTTCCGAAGGGGCCGTTCCTCAGGTCCAAACATGCGGGGATACCATGGCATCCATTCCTCTCGCGTTCTGAGTGTGCAAAGGGGCTGGCAGGGATCTCCTGCCCCGGTTTCGTGATGCTGGCAAAGGTTGTTCTTGTTCCCATGTATGGAAAGGAATACTGGAAGCTGCCTTCAGAGAACCTGCCCTTCTGGGGCTCACCTACAGACAGGGGAATCCTGCTTACCTGAGCTTGCTGCCTCACCTGACCAGGCTGAGCTTGTCTCACAGACTTTTGTCTGTAAGAAGAAATGGGATTTGTGTCCTTTCCAAGGCACCGACAGAATTTTTGCAAGCCTGTGCTTGGAATGCACGTGACTTCAAGGTGCCTGGAGCTGCTTGCACAAATAATTGGGGAGGGGGGGGAGTGCTGTTTTGTGCAGAAAAGCAACCGTTTTCCCCCAAAACTACCCAAAAGAACCCTCACAGTTTGGAGCTATTTGTGCAAACCTTGCCAAATCATGCAAGCCGGGGTGCTGTTTTGAGCAAAGCCACTTTCGTGGAGTGCGCACCAAACGGCACTCCCAAGCACATGGTTTTCTCATCTTGTTTGCAAAAAAATTCTGTTGGCAGCTTTGAAAGGAGGAGACAAACTGAGCTCTGTGTTACAGACAGAATTCTTCGAGCAGAATTCCTCCACTCATCCGACAGTGAGTCAGTGCAGGCTCATGGCTAGGAAATGGGAACGGTGGGGAGCAGATCGTGGGTTTGTTTGTTTGTTTTATTTCTAAAAAGCTTTTCTAACCCATCCACTACTAGTGTCTTGGGACAGCTTACAAAAAATGGGTAGAACAAAACAAAACACCACAGCATCCGACAATTGGAATACTAAAATCCCAGTTAAAATCAACTAAACATTAAAATAATGGGAAAATAAAAAGGTGCTTGCCTGACGCCAAAAAGAATATAACGTCGGTATCAGGCGAACCTCTCTGGGGAGCGTATTCCATAGATGGGACACCACCACAGAGAAGGCCCTGCTCTGGGTAGCCGCCCTCCTGATCTCCTTCAAGGAGGGCTCCCAGAGCAGGGCCTCCCCCTCAGATCTCAAGGGACGAGGGGCACATAGGGGGGAAGGTGCTCCCTCGGGTATCCCAGACCCAATCCATTTAGGGCTTCATAGGTCATCACCAGCACCTTAAATTGGGCCCGGACTTCAATTGGCAGCCACTGTAACTGACAGACGACCAGTGTTAAATATGAATACCGGCCGGTCCCCATTAACATCCTGGCAGCTCCATTCTATTGAGAGGTTTCTACCCTCTGCAGTGGATTCTTCACACCTCCCTGGTTCCAGGTGTAGAAACTGGACCATCTGCATGCCAAGCATGTCCTCAACCACTGAGATATGAACACAGAAATCTACCTTGCATCACTCTCCCTTCTGATTCAGCGCCGCCTACATGAGAGGCAGTGGGTCTCCCTTCCAGACCCACCATGAGATGCCAGGAATCACCCGCAAGTCCTTCCGCATGTGCAGGAGGTGTTCTGCTTTTGAGCTACAGCTCAGCAGATGATGCGGGCTGGATTAAGGCAACACAGCAGCAGAGTACGGGCTGAACCTGGGTTTGTTGGTGAAAAGGGCTTACCTTGTGGCCTGAACCCAGCTAACCTGCAGCCCATGAGCTAGTAACCTCACGCCAGTTATGCAGAGCTCAGTGTTGGTGGTTGGGTTGGTCTAACTCATGGTTCAGCGCCAATCCACACCCAACCTGTCCTCAGTCCTGTAGTGTGGGTTGCCCTGTTTTCTTAACCCGATGTCTCCATTGGTTTGAGGGTCAGCTGGGCCGCTTATCCATTCAGCAAAAGCAAGTCTCTGGTAGGATTTGGCTCAGAGTTCAAGACTCTTACCTTTCATCAATCTAAGCTGGTCATGCCTGCTCTTGACCGCTCTCCAGCATCTCAACTGGAGAAAGAAACCCATAATCCTTCTCCACTGGACATGCCAGGGACTGGACCAAGAACATTCTGGCTTTGAGAAACGCTCTCTAGTGCCGAGCTACAGGCCTTCCCAGAGACAAGGCTGGAGACTTGGCGGGCCTCCTCCTGGGATTGGGATCCAACGCCCAGAATTGCTGACCGTTTGCCATGTCGGGTGGGGCTGGCAGGAACTGGAGGGATACAGGTTTCTCCACTCGCCCATGACCCATTACCATGAGAGATCATCTCAGCAGCACAAACAGGAGCAGTTTGGGGCACATCAAGACATTGAAAGAAAAGCTAGATCCAGTCACTGGGATGGGGCTGCTCGGGATTCCTGGGCCAAGCAATGAACCGGGGTGGTGGAAGGGGTACGGCAGGCATTCTCAGTAGACCCTTCCCAGAGGCAGGGCCCCTGGCCACTACCCAAGGCTACTGAAGGTGAGGACTGCAGGCCTGGGCGCTCTGCTGCAAGGAGAAAGCCCTCAGAGATGCACGTTTCTTCCTTTTGGAGCAAAGCAAGTGCCCCATGATATCCTGGTGGAGAAACTGAGGAGTTTTCGGATACACCAAAGCACTGTCTGGTGGATTAGGGCATGGCTGACTGACCGAAAGCAGAGGGTAACCATTAACGGGGAATCATCGGGATGGCAGCCAGTGACAAGCAGGATCCCCCAGGGCTCTGTCCTGGGGCCAATCCAATCTTTTCATTAACAACATGGAAGAAGGGGTGAACAGTCTGCTGATCAAATTCGCAGACGACACTAAAACTGGAGCAGTGGCCACAACTGAGGAGCAGGTACTCCAGATCCAAAAGGATCTGGACAGACTATGGAGGTGGGCAGGAGACAACAGGATGGCATTAAATGTGGATACGTGCAAGGTCTTGCACTTGGGGCATAGGAATAGGTGTCATAAGTACAGGTTAGGGGGCAAGTGGCTGGAGAGCAGCACTTGCGCAAGGGACCCCGGGGTGCTGGTTGACTGCAGGCTAAACATGAGCCAGCTGTGTGATGCGGTGGCCAAGAGGGCGAACGCCACCCTTGGTTGCATAGCCAGAAGTGTGGCTTCTAGATCGAGAGAGGTATTACTACCACTCTGTATGACTCTGGTGTGCCCGCAACTGGAGTATTGTGCTCAGTTTTGGGCCCCTCATTACAAAAGGGATATAGACAGGTTGGAGTCAGTGCAGCGCAGGGCCACAAGGTTGGTGGCTGGTTTGCAGGGGATGCTGTATGAGGCGAGACCGAGGGAACTGGGTCTCTTCAGCCTGGAGAAGAGGAGACTCAGAGGGGATATGTTGGCGACATACAAGTAGGTGAGGGGATGTCACACGGAGGTGGGTAGAGACCTGTTCTCCCCTGCAGAGGAAGGCAGGACGCACTCCAACGGAGCAAAGCTCAGGGAACCAAGGTTTTGTTTGGATGCCAGGAAGCACTTCCTGACAGTTAGGACCCCAAGGGTGTGGAATGGGCCTCCACAGGAGGTGGTTGAGGCCCCATCGGTGAGGGTGTTCAAGGATAGGCTGGACGTCCACATGGTGGGCATGTCGTGAGCGGAGCCGGCTGGTGCAGGAGGTCAGACTAGATGGCCCGGGAGGCCCCTTCTGACTCGCTCTGTTTTCTATGTTTCTAACCTTCATCAATCCCACCAACTATCCATGTTCCCTGTTTTCTGACTCAGGTCCCTGATCAATGCCCATCTTTGGTATCTTGGAAGATGCTGTGTTAAATTTTGCTAGCGTCTCCTTCCCCACCTCCCCAGCTGTTAGACTGAGTGAGGAACGGGGGGGTTTTTTTCTCCCCCACACAAGGGTTGCATTTTGGTCCTTCAAGCTCCACTGCTGGATCAGTGAAGGACGGGCTGCTGCAGAAGCAAGCAGTTCACGATCCAATAATGCTTTCAGGGATCCTTGAAATGATGACGGGGAAGCTTTGTGAAATGCCGAAGGGTATATTAATCCAGGAGGAGTGGCGGGGGTGGGGGGGACTGTCCCAAGTAGAGCTGCGTACAAAGGGCCTCTCAAAATTCTCCACCTGATGTGTTAGCAGAGAAATTTCCCCATTTGGCTTCCCAGACAATGCAGCAGTCTAGCTCCTGGGATGAAACAGAGTCAGCATTTTGCCAAAATCTGTCCTCCAATTTCCTGAAAGCTTTCTTCCCCCATTTTTCTGCCTCGCCCTCAAGAGGTGTGTGTACCCAACCTCTCCTTACCCCCCAGCCTGCCTGTATGTTCTGCTCAGAGAATGTCCTATGGCAAGAATTACGGTACTAGCCCCAAATTTCCAAATTGGAGTCGAGGGAGGGTCATCTACACAGTGGATTTATGGGCTGTTGAAAGAGGAGCGTACAATGAAAACCAGGACACTCCACTCACTCCTCATCCCATCTTCACTAAGTTAAGCCCAAGAAAGCCAAACACAACCCACGAGAATTTCTCAATTGTTCTTCACCTTTGGATTCATTTTCAGCTTCACTTCCATCAAATTGAGTGGCAGGGGTTGAAAAAAGTGGGTGAGAAGTTTTTGGCCAATTTTGTGGGGTGGGGGGAGCTTTCATATCAGCAGTAGCAAATGTGTTTCTCAGTATTCTTAATTAGTCCATCTGTTTATGAAACAATTCATATACAACCATTTGGCCCCTCAAAGCAGGTCCCCAGGTGGGTGAACAAGCTATTAAAGAACCAGAAAGCTTAAAGAGGCAGCCCAGAATTGATCTGGAAGTAAGTTAAATTGAATTCAGTAGAGTGATGCTCTGTGGAGAACTCAAATGACCCAGCGACAAAAGCATGGTTAAATCGTAAGGGCTCGCACATTTTCAGA